TATATATATATATATATATATATACATACAGATATAGGCATGTATCTCTAAAGAGTTCTTCTTGATTTGATTCTACAGTGAAGTTTCAGCATCCAGGTACTTTTTTGATGACTCATCTTCGAAATTTATTGTCACACTCAAAGGCTTTTCAGAGCTGTTTAAAACAATAATGAAGGGGAAAAATCATTTTTGAAAGAATCAATATTAAATTCTCAACATTAGATTCTCAACATGGTCAACAAGGAATATCTACAATAAACCTTTGAGTTGTTTGCTAACACAACTTGCTCTAATAACCTGGTTTTGTTTCTTTCACAATTTCAAACATGAATATAATATATTTTGGTCATATTCATCCCCCATTACCCTCTTTCATCTCCCTCTTACTTCCTATGAACACCTTCTTCTCAACAAGTCACTTTTTAGTATGAATAAAGTCAGGATGTGGTCTTATCACTAGTATCTTATCATCATGTGATTTTGAATTGAGGCCCAAGCCATATGACAGGTGAAGTATAAAAGATCGATGTAAGGCCTATATTAACAACCTAGGTCAAGGGTGATGACAGGATGTTAGAAGAACTAAGAGTTAAGTCTGATCATTCTGTACAGAACAAGCAACACTGCAAAGAATTTTAAAACCTTAAAACCTATAGGCTAAAGACGGAAACCAAAAAAGGCAATAGTCAAGCTTAGAAAATTAGAACTCAAGAAATCCCACCCCCCAAAAGATAGATTAAGTAGGAAAATAAAAGAGCTTACAAAACACTAGTCATATCACAATGAAGAGCTCAGAAAAACAGTAGATAAGCAGAACTAGGAACATGAGGGCCTGCCTGGACTGGTCTTGATCTAGTGCCTGAACAGCATCTACTAACACCCAGCACAAGCACCGGACGAGCTGTTAGGAAGATACACTAGTTGAACATGAGTGACTGGGCTGTCACCTTGTGTCTTCAGACCCATGAACTAAAGTTCTAATAATTATCATGGCAAGAAATGTAAGGGAGGGTTAGGGAAGCTTCAATATGTGGTTCACTATAAAACTGTATTATATACACACATATGTAAATAAATATCTTAAGGATAAATGTATACATTACCTGAAGAAATGATATGCTAAAAATAACAACAAAAGGAAAACAACTATTGTTCTTTATTCTTGGATCAAAAGAAAGTATAATTACTTTTTTTTTTTCTTTTTTTGAAAACAGGTTGTCTTATATGTAACTCACTATGTAGATTATGCTGGCTTCAAACTTGTGACAATTCTGTCTTTACCTTCTGAGGTTTACAGGAGTATGCCCACCATGCCTAGCTGTACTGATTTAATCCTTAGTGATTATCTTTACAATTTTTTTAAGCTTGTAAATAATTATTCTGCACTATTATACAGAATATCTTTACCATAAAATTGCTTTTTTTGAAATATACAACTATAAATTTAAAATTTATAAACATAATCATAGAGGGGAACTTAATCATGATCGATCAGGTCACAGGTAAATAGGATGGATGGAAAGAAGGAGGAAGTGAAAAAGAAAAGGTTTTGTCCAGTAAGGAGAATAGTAAGCAAATTAAGTGAAATGCTGTGGTTTACTACATAACTACCCTAAGTAAGAGAAAAGTGGCAAAAGTCACAAATGTACAAAGAGTCATTAACTACCTCGTGTTAGGTCTGGTTACTTTGGCATTCTCAGTACTCATGGAAAGTGCCTTCCACTGTGCAGTTTTGGCCATTTCATCTGATATATTAACAACTGAAGGGTCAATACTGAAGAACAAATACACTTTGTGGTTAGTGTTCAGTACTTGCAAAAGCATTAATATTGTCATTTTTATTAGCATTAAAAAATTACTTTTCATCAATTTAAAATTGCAAAAATACTTGTCATGCACTTAAACCAAGGTCAAAACTATAAGCCTGGAGTTCCTGGAAGTTTGTGAGAAAGTCCTCATGAAGAATTCGATCTTCCTTCAATCAAAACTAAGAGCAAGATTGATTATGTTAGCAAGATTTATTTACATATCTTCATTTCAGAATTCAATTCGGAGTCTCAGAAGTACTTGAGTAATACCCCAGCAGCGATACCATTTGATGAAATAGGCTACATTATTGAATAATATCAAACTGATTAATGTGTTTGCAGTCTAAAAATATAACTAAACATCCACAGTATGTAAGAAAAAGAAATCACAATTTTAAAGTCTTTCCTCTTTAGCAATTTTTTGAAGCTAGAATAACTGAAAAATGAAGTTCTGAAAATATTTTGATAACAAAAACTCAATTTTACAAATATTAACTATGTTCCGTGTCAAAGTGTTATTTTTTTTTAACATTTTATTATCGTTATTTTATGTGTATGCATGTATTGCCTGCATGTAGTGAGTGCACCCATGTCATGCAACGCCCACAGATGACAGAAGAGACTGTCGTATCCCCTGGAACTGGAGTTATGGACAGTTGTTAGCTGCCATGTGGGTGCTGGGATTCGAACCTGGGTCTTCTGCAAGAACAGTCAGTATTCTTAACCACTTAGCTATCTCTCCATCCCCCAGTGTTATTTTAACAAATGCATCAAAATAAAAAAGGATAGTACACTGTCCATTTATTATAAAAGACAAATGTAACCACTCTACATTTCTTTTTTTTTTACATTTTGTTATTTTTATTTTATGTGTATGCGTGTATTGCCTGCATGTAGGTAAGTGTACCCATGTTGTGCAATGCCCACAGAAGACAGACAAGGCTGTCAGATCCCCTGGAATTGGAGTTACGGACAGTTGTTACCTGCCATGTGAGTGCTGGGATTCGAATCCGGGTCTTCTTCCAAGAAAAGTCAGTATTCTTAACCGCTGAGCTATGTCTCTAGCCCCAAAGTGTTATTTTAACAAATGCATCAAAATAAAAAAGGATAGTACACTGTCCATTTATTATAAAAGACAAATGTAACCACTCTACATTTCTTTTTTTTATATTTTATTTATTATTTTTATTTTACGTGTGTGCACGCACTGTAGAAGACAGAAGAAGCTGTTGGATTCCCCAGAACTGGAGTTACGGACAGGTGTTAGCTGCCATGTGGGTGCTGGGATTCAAACCCAGATCTTCTGCAAGAACAACCAGTGTTCTTAACCGCTGAGCCATCTCTCCAGCCCCCGTAACCATTCTACATTTCTATGAAACATTGCAAAATGACTCCAAGACCCCAAATCCAATAATGAGCCAAAGTTCAATGTACTTACAAGTAATATAAAACGTTCACAAACTTAATTGCAGTATCTCTATAAGACGGGGTCTCCCTGTAGCTCCAGCTGTCCTGGAACTCACTACATAGACCAGGCTGGCCTTGAACTCACAGAGATCCACCTGCCTCTGCTGGGATTAAAGGCGTGTGCCACCACACCCGGCTCTATAAGCTCTTTTTATTCACCAAAAGAAAAACAATTCATGCAAACAAATATGTTAAACTGAATCACATGAATAGGTATACTGCAGGCATGTAACCTCAGCTACTCACAGGCCACAGGCTGAAACAGTAGATCACAAATTAAAGGCTAGCCTGGCCAGTTCAGTAAGACCTTGTCTCAAAACAGTAAAATGTGAACTGGGGAAGTAACAACATGGTAGATCCCTTGCTTAACATGCACAGTAAGCAAAGGACTCTTAAGTTTAATAATCAGTACTGCAAAAAGAAGAAAAACTTTGATCACATTAAATTATCAATGTAGGGACTGGAGAGATAGCTCAATGGTTAAGAGCACTGGCTGCTCTTAAACAACAAAAGAGATAAAACATGGCAAGCAGGTTATCCATTTTAAGAAAAGCAGCGTCAATCATGATTTATGTCATCACTTAAAAAAGATAAAAGGAGACATCAGACAGCATTCATTCAACTTGCATTTGTGGTGGTCTAATATAATCTCACGGAGGAAATCAGAAAACAGGACAGAAAGTGGCAAATAATCTCAACGAAAAGTGAGAGTTCCTCAGAACTCTTCTCAGGTACAATCAATGAAACCAACACATTTATAAAACCTAGTAACACAGTGCACTACAGCTATATATATTGAGATCTCATATCTGGCATCTAAAATACAGAAAGGTTTTAGGGAAAATCATGAAAATAACACAGAATGAATCCAATAATAATTAGTAGCAAAAATCAGAGGAAAGGATGTGATTAATTTATCACAGCTAAAACTGTAAAACTAAGAAGAATAATTTAAAATACAGAAAGGTTAAAGCAAGTTAAATACCAATGAACATTTTTCAATCAACTGGTTAGGAAAGGAATCTATATATGCTCTAAAAGTGAACGCTCTACTCTAACTAGCTAATCAGAAATTAAACAGGTATTTAGAAATAAGAATCAACAACACAGGTCCTTAATCTTTTAAAACCACATAAAAGGTCTACAGTTCTGAACTCTGTGTCTTTAGAACCATAAGTGATAATTTTTCACAAAACCTTATGGCTAACCTCCCTCACTGTCAACAGATTTCATCATTAGAAACTGGAGAGCAAGGGAGGCTCTAAACATGAGTCCAGCAAGGAAGTTATCAAAAACTGATTGCAAATGTTTCATTACCCAGCATATAATGACCTTAAGGGAGAAAAGAAAAAGCAATACTTCTCAAAACATGGAACGTTGAAACCTGTGTACTGATTTTAAGTGTTGTTAAGGCACTGGAGAGATGGTTCAGCAGTTAAGAGGACTGACTACTCTTGCAGATGACCTGGTTCGATTACCAGCACCAATGTGGCAGCTAACAGCCACCCGTAACTCCAGTTCCAGGAGATCTGATGCCTTCTTCTGATCTTTGTGGGCACTGCATGACACAGGTGCACTTACACATATGCAAGCAATAAACTCATACACATAAAATAAAACTAATTAAAAAAATATTTTAAGTGTTTAGAGAGATGTCAAGATTCAAGACAAGTAATGCTTGTTGACTTGGTGCAAGAGTTAGCATGAGACTTTGATCCCAGCCCAGCTCTGTGCCTGCCTGCAACCTGGGTGGGAAAGAAAGACTGAGAGGCTTCATCTCAAACCGCATGAAGCTCCCCTTTAGCTGACAGGTCAGATGCAGATTTCATCATCTTTTAAAAATCAAAATCATTATTTAAATTAGTATTATACCCATCTTATATATACACTTGATATGCATAAAAATATTCTGTACAAAAGTTATATCTTACCTATATTTCAGGGTCTTAACTGGAATTTGCAAGACACTCCCACTTTCAAATGGAAGGTGTACAGTATCACCACCATCCTGAAGCATCCGCTCAGCTTCCTTTAGAGTACATACATGAAGAGATTACTTTTTCCAGAGTACTTCCAGGAGGATCTGTTACTAAGAAAACCTTAAAAACTTTGAGACCCAAACTGACATTATTATGTAAACATAGCCATCATAACTAAATCTTTTTTGGCAATATAGGCATATACTTAAAGTATAAAATGAAAAGAACCACTTATACTAATTTCATATATCTTCTAGTTCTGGAAACAAATTATTAATATTGTCTAGAAATCAATTTACATAAGCTTCAACACTAGTTCTTATACAGGTACAGAATAGGGGATAAAACTGAAACCTCTTGTCTCATCAAAATACAGTGAGCAAAAGCTCATTTGTCTAAGGGAAGGTTTTCCAACCTCTGCAACAATGATACATAAAGCAAAATAATTCTTTGTTGTGGGGGGAATTCTGTGTATACAGAATATTTTTCAAGTACAGGTTTAATATGTGCCAGTAGCAGGGCCTCCAGTTCTAATAACCAAAATGTCTTAGACACTGGAAAATGCCCTTTGGAGGGGACATCAGCCTAGGTTTAGAACCACCTGGACAATAGATATGGACTCAAATTATGGCAATTAGTAAGGGAAGGACATAAAGAAATAGAGGAGAGACAGGCCACACTGGTCTCCCTACTATCAGAAATTGCACTATTTTTAACTGACAAAGTATCTAGATTTAAACCTGCTACACTAAATTTCTCAGCATTCTTTGCAACTCAGCAGGGCCTAGTACAAGCAGCTTACTGAATGACATTTTTGTGAAGATTCCTGAAGATACAGAACAGAATAAAGTATTTTGCCTTCTGTCCTCTCTTCCTAGTGCCTCTGTTACTTGTATGACAGCTAGGGTTTAGCAGGTATTTTGACGCAGAAGGTGAACTGAAGATGGAAACTACATTTGGGCACAAGGAGAAATAACAAGGTGGCCCTGATAATTCTGTGGAACCATGCATTAAATCACTTACTTGCAAGAATGAGAGAATTGATCCCTGGGTTTTTTTTAATGTATTTATACTTCTTTTCTTTAAAATTATGTGCCTCTCAATCATACTCTAACTAATAGAAGCAGAAATAAAGCAAGTAAGCGTTATAACCTAAGCATTTTACAATATATTAATGAAGAAAACTCACTAAAAGCTTACATATTTATACATATAAATTTGAAAGAAAACAAATTCTTTTAATTTCAAGTTTTGAGTCTCATTTAAATAAATATTCTAACGAATATCCTAATTATATAATTTTGGTTGATTAGTATACATAAAACCAGTAATTTTCCTATCTATATTTAAGACCATCACATTAAAAATATGTAGCCAACTGTGTTGGTGCACAAAGTCACCCCAAGCATGCAGATGGAATGGAAGAGAACTACAGCAGAGTGATCACAAGATCTAGACCAGCCTGGGATACACAGGGAGCCCAACTTCAAAGTTTTCAAACAAATTTTGAATAGGAAAACTGAGGAAGGTATTTAAATCTTATTCAATCTACAAAACCATATTATTTCTATTTCTTATTCGGTAATAGCACAAAGTTAAAAAACAAAAGATCAAATCCAGAATAAAGTGTTTATAGTTAAATCTCTTTGTACAGAACAACTAACTATGCTACATAAACTGATTATAAAAACTAAAAATTGGCCCAGTGAGATGGCTCAGCAGTTTTGTAAAGGTGCTTGTCACACAAGCCTGGAAATCTTGAGTTTGAGAGAACTGACTCCTGAACGCTTTGCTTTGACCTCCACATATGCATACCTTACCTGCAAGCATACCATATGCACACACACACACACACATACACACATACACAGTTAATAAAATTTAGCTGGGTGTGGTGGTATGCTTTAGTCTCAGCTACTTAGGAGACAGAGGTAGGAAGAGCCCTTGAGCCTAGGAGTTTAAAATCAGCATGGACAACTTAGTGACCATGAGTCTAATAAAAAATAAAAGGGACCAAAGTTTATTTATGGTTTGTGTGTGTGTGTGTGTGTGTGTGTGTTCCTGTACAGAGGCCAAAGGATACTACATGTCCAGCTCTATCACCTCTGCACCTACTCATTCCTTTGAGACAGGATATCTCATTGAACCCAGAGCTAGGCTGGTGGTCAGCAAGCCCTGGAGAGCCTCCTGTCTCTGCACCTCATAGAGCAGGGAGTACAAGCACAAGCAGTCATAATGAGGTTTTTACGTGGTTGTTGGGGATGTGAACTAAGGTCCTTATGCTTGTGCAGCAAGTGCACTATCTGCTGGGCCCTCATCCCAGCCCCATTATAGCTTTTTAGATATAAAACTATTGTGTGCTTCAGTACTACTAAAAGTTCTAATGCCTATAGTTTTAAGTGAATACAATGTACAGTTTAAAAAAATGTTGTTTAAGAAATCTACTGGGGCAAGATGGAAAAATAGGTAAGAAGCTGTATTTAGGACAAGCTGTCCAACCTCTCTTTGTCTCACCTCAGTACACAAGGATACCAACAGTGCCCATACTTCATAAGGTTCCTTTAAGGATTAAAGGTACCAAGTAAGGTACCAAATAATGTCTCCTAAATGATGCAAAACATTAAACAAGAGACTAGGGAAAATCTAAAATTCTTATTTTTTACCGCTTTCTCTTTTTTCTTTTTGTCATCTTCTTTCTTTTTCTTGCTTTCCGGCATAAGATCATCAAGCCAACTAAGTTCTCTCTTTGTGAAACACAAGTCCATGAGCTTGCGTACAAAAACTAATGCAAGAACCTTAAAAAGATAGGGAACAAGATAGTAACATATAATTTCCACTTAAAGAATACAGCAAGGGTTTATTAAATCCATAAATAAAAGGAAATGTAGCTTTCATTTAGTTTAAAAAGTATTTCACGCCATTCCAAAGGAACTGAGTTATTTATTTGCATTGTAAAACTGTCTGCTAAAACACACACATATACACACACACAGAAAAACCAACCTACAATGGAAGAAAAAGAAAAAAAATCGTTCTCAATAGAGATAACTTTCATAGATTTTTACATTATGTATGTACCTGTCATTAAAAAGAAAATCTCTGAGGTAATACATTAGGGTCTCTATTCCTAGAATTGAGTTTTAATTTTTCAACAGGAGGAAAGGTTACTGAGAATGAGGATGTTTTCCAATGCTGACCTAGCTTTCCTCTTCTGTTACTTGCTGTCTTCTATCCTTTCCCTGTTTTCCTCCCATTTTTAAAAATAACTTGTTTATAAACTTGTAAGGGTCTGAATACTTTTGATAGAAATCCTCCATCACCGTATGCATTACATTTTCTCCCAGTTCACAACACAGTTCTACTCTGTTTAAAATGCCTCTGATCACATAAAATCTTCATCACCTCGCTAAACATATTTACCTTTCTTTTACTAATACATTTCTTTGAAAGTTATCACTCATCATTGAGTTATATAATAAACACTTTTCAAAATTTTCTACAACTTTATACTTTGAGTTCATCTAGAATTTCTTTCTTAATATGGTATTAAGACAGTTTATAGTTAGCTCTCTGAACATTCTCTAAGCTTTCTGACTAAGGAAATGACCACCTCTGATAACCTGTTTATGGTAGTCCAGTGATAATACTGCCATATAGTCAGATGAAACTCTGGACTCATTAGTCTATTTCCTCTATTTATTCATTGCTATATCAGTTCCATATTGGGTTGGCTACACTGACCTTACAGTAATTTTTAATTATTTGTTTATCCAAACGCTATGGTTTAAGTGCAAAACAATCAAGTAAATAGCAAAAGCCACACCTAATTATACTCTTCTATTGTCTTATTTTCTGTCACTTATTAACTTTTTCTTTTCTAACAAATAAACTATTTGTATAGTTTGATGCTTACGGTAAATTATATACATGTAATCCACACTCACAAGATAAAGACCACTTTTGCCATCCTTTTGTTTAAATCTGACACTTATTTCTCTCTATGTGCTTTAAAATTATTTATCTGGGGGCTAGAGAGATGGCTCAGCAGTTAAGAACACTGGTTATTCTTGCAGAAGACCCAGGTTTAAATCCCAGCACCCACATGGCAGCTAACAACTGTCTGTAACTCCAGTCCCAGGGGATCCGACAGTTTCTTCTGACCTCCATGGACACTGCATGACATGGGTGCACTTACCTACATACAGGCAATACATAAAATAAAAATAATAAGTAATTTTTTAACGTTTAAAATTATTTATCTGGTTCATAATGACACCACCCCCATCCCAAACCACACAATTCAAATAAATCTAGTAAATTTCATGCTCAGAGCTGTATCATACCCACATGCTATTTCAAAGAACTTAGCCGGGCATGGTGGCACATGTTTTTAAATCCCAACACTCGGGAGAAAGAAGTAGGAGGATCTCTGTGAGATCAAGAGACCCTGTCTCCAAAAATAAAAATAAAAAAATTTTTAAAAAGTACACAGTAACAACAGTATAGCTGTTGGTTCAAGTTTTATGTCTTTTAATACTGCTTTGAGTCCAATTTCCTGCCCCCTATTAAAAACAAGTTGAAGTCTCAACCCCTAGTATTTCCAAATTTGGTAATAGTGTTTTTGCAGACATAATTAAGATAATCATACTGAATGAAGTAGGACAGATTCCTAGAGAACTATGAGCAGTGTCTATAAAAAGGTCATGTTGTGTGCAAACAGAGACATAGAAAGGACATGCTGTGACCACATTCAGATTGTAGTCCTGCAGCTGCAGGGCAAGGAACACAAGAAACTAACAGTAGGAAGAGAGAGGAAGAACTCACTGCAAGTTTCAGAAGGACATGGCTCTGCTCACACCTTGATTTCATTTATTTCCAACTTTTAGTCTCCATAACTTTTTATGCAATTTCTGTTGTTGTTTTAAGCCATGCAGATTGTGGTACTTGGTAGAGTGGCCATAAGAAACTGACACAGTAAGAAAGCCTTTTCTTTAATTTTTCTAAAATCTCTTTTCATTTTAGCTAACCTTTAAACACTTTCTGGGGTTTGGCTACCTCTGTTAATGGTATTTCCCCACAGTTTCCTACTGTTGAGATGGAAACTATCTATTCCTGCGGATGTGTTCTTGTAACCAGCCACTTTAACATGATTGTTATCGATTCTATTAAGGACCTTTTTCTATTTATATTTATTTATTTCTTAAAATTCTATTAAGGATCTTTTTCATTTGATTTTAACTAAAAAGTTAAAAAGAATACAACTACAAATGTGTTCTTTTTGATGCTAAAGTACCATTATCTGCCTAATTATGATACACAGCTCTAAGAAATAATGTTTATGTGCTGATATTTTAAGCTGTTTATATCTATATTCAAAAGAGGATATCATAATATCTTTTGCAACTTTGTTAAGCTTTGGAATTAAGATCTTTTTAGTGTTTCATGAGAAAAACTGAGTATCTACCTTTCCTTTCCTTCAGTCTACAATCACTATCACTGTCTGTTCTTTAAAAGTAAGATATACTTGGGGCTTAGAGAGATAGCTCACAAGCTAAAAGCACTGGCTGCTCTTGCAGAGGACCCAGGTTCAGTCACCAGCAGGCACATGGTGACTAACTGTCCCCAATTCCAGTTCCAGGGGAATCTGACTCCCTCTTCTGACCTCCGTGGGCATTGTATGACATGGGTACACTTATATACATGCAGGCAATATACTCATACACATAAAATAAAAATAGTAATAATCTGGCTCATTAGCCACTTGTGTAGAGCCCTTCAGCTAAGAATAGTTGTTTGTTGTTGTTAATATTTTATTTATTTTTATTTATTTAATGTATATGAGTGTTATGCCTGCATGTAAGTACATCCATGCTGTGCAGTGCCTACAGAGGGCAGAAGAGGGCACTGGATTCCCTGGAACTGGAATTATGGATGGTTGTTAGCTACCATGTGGGTGCTGAGATTCAAACCCCAATCTTATATAAGAACAGTCAGTGCTCTTAACTCCTGAACCATCTCTCCAGCCCCTAAGAATAGTTTTTATAGGCAAACTCTAGAATTAAAGTGAGAATAAAGGTTTCTCCCCACTTTTTTTCAGTGTATAGAATCAAATTCAGGCCTAATGCACGCTATGTAATACTACTACTGAGCTCTGCCCCAGTTTTGCTAATAAATATAAATATTAATCTTGACTATCAACTAAGTGAAATATTATCCCCAATAAAAAAGAATTCCATTCCTCTCATCAGTAATCCTAAATTTATAACAACCAAAAACCACTGTACAACTATTTAATTTTTATCACATTATAAAAATTTATTTCTCTCTTGTATTAAACAAGTACCGACATAATATTCTCCTGACCTATGAAATATTTACTATCTATCTAATACTATCTACTTACCTACCAAAAATATTTACTACCTGACCCTTTGTAGAAAAATGTCCGTTGACTCGTGCTCCATTTGAATCTCAATCTCTCGTACATCTGTGGTTTTATCTCTTTCTTAAACTTGCATAATAGTTTACTTTCATTTTTTTTTTTCCTGACTTGGAGAGACTACTACTCCACTACTGATCTTGGCTGTGTTTATCTTCCTAGGTAATAAAGTCCACATGGGGTGTACATCTTCCTCTGAGTGTACAAAGCCACCTGTACTCAAATCTTTGCCCAACATTTCCTTAAAGTGCCCTCACTTTCCTTATGGCCACATGATTTTTTAACTGAGCATTCTTAACAGAGTTTACTTTTCAAATCTTTAACTATTTTAGTGGTTTCTCATTTCTGATATAATTGTGATCAGAAAGTATTATTCAACTAATTTTTACAGTTTTTAATCTTTTAATGTTTTCTTTGGCCATACAAAAAAATAAAATATATATGCCGGGCGTGGTGGCACATGGCTTTAATCCCAGTACTCGGGAGGCAGAGGCAGGCGGATCTCTGTGAGTTCAAGGCCAGCCTGGCCCACATAGTGAGTTCTAGGACAGCTGGGGCTTCAGGAAGACCCTGTCTCAGAAAGACCAAAAATAATTATAAATAAATAAATAAACAAATAAAGTATATAAAGTAATAAGAAAAAGACAAATACTACCTATTTGTATAATGCAGTAGTCTATGATAATCTAGAGAATTATATGGATTATCTTATTAAAATCATCTATGGCCTTTCTAACTTTTAAACATCTAGATCTGTTTATTTCTATACAAAATACATTGAAACATTCCATTAAAGAACCAGTTGTTTCAGCTGCTTTGCTTTACATGTTTGCCACATTTGTTCGACAAATGCCCTAAATTCTAGAGTTACTTAAACTACAAAACAGAGCCATGTAGTTCAAGGACTAAGACCTAAAAACAACTTAGAATATAATAAGAATATTTTGAATGCAAAGTAATAGGTTGTAGCTAGAAACAATGCATCAGTATTTTCAAGTACTTAGAAATAGGTTTAAAATGACTGTGAAAATAACAATTATGAGTTAGTAACAAAATAAGGCTGAAAAACTTACCATCATGGGAAAAACTACTGCAGCAGCAGAGGCCTTTATCACCCACAGCAGGACGAGGCAGGTCAGCTGGACAACTGTGAACATGTGCACCTTCCACAGAGGTACATAGCGAAGGTAGATCAGGTCAGGCTGGTGCTTGGCAGGCATTCCAAATAATTTTATACGGTCAAAAAACTATGTATATAATGAATAAATAGAAAAGAGTTATCAACAAAACATTTTTGCTAAGAAGTGATAATCCTTTGTGTTTCGTGTATTAAATGAAACTATAAATTCCTTGATATGTCCTGATAGTATAAAGACTGTTTTAGAAAAGAATTGCCAGATCTAGAGAGGAGAAAAATCATGGCAGCCAGGATTGGTGGTGTGTCTGTAATCCCAGCACATAGGAGAATTGAGGCAGGAGAATTACCATGAGCTCACAGGTAGTTTGGGTATCTAGACCTTGTCACTAAAAAGCAAAGCAAAACAGAACATCAAGGTAATGAAGACAAAATTTTTTACTTTGGTAGATTTCAAATATCTTTTACTGAATTTTTGTAAATTTCATACAATATGGTACACTAAAATACTGGTAAGTTTATCTTGTATGACCAAATTTCAAAAGTACACATCATTTAATTTCTGTGATCGTGTTTTCTACTATGCACAATTAAGGAATAACAGCCTTCTAAAGTGTCTCCAACTTTAACGCCACCAGTTCTATGCAAAATACTTAACATAGAAGTTGCAAACTTATTCACTTAATGTTTTTGAACATTAATTTCTTCAATTACAAACTGGAAAAAAGATCAACCTATCTAACTCAGGAAACTGCTATAAAAACCAAGTGAGATAATGATATACTTCTTGATTACTGGAGACTAGATCCTATGATTTGTTTGTTTCATTTTGTTTTTTGAGACAGGGTCTCCCTATAGCCCCCCAGCTGGTCTGAAGTAGCTAAGTAGACTAGGCTAGCCTTGATCTCAGAGAGATCTGCCCACCTCTGCCTCCTGAGTGCTGGGATTAAAGGTGTCTGCCACCATGCCCGGTGCTGGACTATCTTAAATGCTTGTTTTGAAAAGTCCTGCCAGCTACTTTCACACCAGTGGACAATTTCTGTGAAAAGAGGTGGCCACTGTGGGGCTCACTGTGCTAATCTAAATGTTTTTCACTAATATCTGTACAAACCTGAGTCAATTTTAGCAAGCTGTTTTTCTGGAAGCATAATTCAGACAAAAAGCAGTGAAATCACTAGGCTCTGTGGCTTATTTGCCTAATAATTTTTTAAGTCCTACTGTTTCAGTGTTCTGATTTATAAAACAGGAATTCCTCCTTTCCTCTTTCAACTATCATTTTGAGAATCACAGAAAATAATTTATGTGATAGGCCTTTTATTGCTGCATATAAGTGGCAAAATTACCATTTGTATAAGAAACTAAATAATCTTTCAGTTTCAGTATTGAAACTGCTGTCCCAAGTCAGAAAATGCATTTCTTTCCACTCTAATCCCTTTGATCCTCCCTCAACACACTAGTCATAACTAAGCAGTTGGATAACCTTTCACTGGCTTTGAAAATAGATGAATTAATGATCTCGCTTTTGTGGAAAAACATACAATGAAGAATAATCATTTGGCAAATGTTTCTGATGTCACTAGACAGAGAATTAACTTGTTACAAAAACAACTTTTGCAAATTTTAAATAGTTCTACGTTTTTCTAAATATTAAATACTTGCCTGGATTCCTTTTAATGATGAAACTCCCATATAAAGGAAAACACCATACAGAACTGGCATTGGGATAAACTGTAAATACAATTACTACAATTAGAATTCATTCTACTAAATAATTTCACACTAATGAGTAAACAGAATCATAACTGATAACTATAATGACAGAATTTAAAGTTCTTGCCAAACCTTAGTGAACTTCCTGAGAGTGCCTGGATCTGGCCTCCACTTGGTGGTGAGCTTCCCCAAATCACTCCATGCTATCCCTCTACATAGAGACTATGTGTGGCCCCTCCCACTGCAACAGGGCTAGACTTCTCTGCCCTTCAGTAGAGGCCCAGATTTTTGCAGACTATTTGAGAGAGAGTAAATTATGGCTTCCCCTTAGCAAGCCTCCTAAATTGTGCTGTGACTGCTTTCGAGTAGGGGCTCAGACCTTAGGAGGAAGCTTAAGAGTACTACTGGAGTGGCACCTGATTTGAGTCTCTGTTGGAGTTCCTGAGTAGCTGGACTGAAACCATCTGGTCCCTCCAATATAAAATCAAAAGAGAGATCCTGAAGCCTAGACCAACCAGCTTTACTTACTCAATAAGAAAACAACCAAGGCACACCAATAATTCTAACAGAAGCAGACTTCAACACAATAAAAGGAAGCCTTGAGTTTCAAACCAGAATCATAAACAAAAGGAATCCACATGCAAAAATCACAATGGAAAAATAATAATATGAAAAACCAAAATAATATGTTCCCAAAAAATACTACCAATCCTATAGAAGAGTTCTCCAAGGAGAAGCCCCTAGAGATAATCCAGCACACAAAATTTAAAAGAACAGTCATAAACATCATCAAAGAATTCAACAAATTTAAAGAACACACAGGCAAACAAATCAAAGAACTAAAAAGGCTAAACTTCTGACTGAATTCACAAAAGCAATAGAAACATTGAAGAAAACTCAGGCTGAAATGAAGTGAAAAATTCAATAAGCCAATTTGAAATGATAGGAGTAAGTCTCACCAATACAGTGAATGAAATGAAAAACAGAATATCAAGACTGGATGATAAAATGGAAGAATTGGAACACTCAAGCAAAGATTATGAAAAATGAATAATTTAAAAAACAGGAACGGAATATGCTGAAAATGTGGGACACTATGAAAAGACCAAATTTATGCATTATAGGCATAGAGGAAGGAGAATAATTTCAGGTTAATGGTACTGACCAGATTTTAAACAGGATTATAGAAAAGAATTTCCCCAAATTAAAGAAAGATATACCCATACAAATACAGGAAGCACACAGAACACCAAACAGACAGGAACAGAAAAGAAACTCCATATGGCATATCACAGTAAAAATACTAAATGCACAGAACAAAGAGAGCACTGAAAGCTGCCAAGTCACATATAAAAGAAAACCCATCAGAATATCAGCTGACTTATCAATGTAAACTATGAAAGTTAGAATAGCCTGGACAAAAGTATTCCCAGTTCTAAATGACCACAGATGCCAACCCAGATTACTTTACCTAGCAAAAATGTCTGTTATAGTTGAAGGGGAAAGAAAAATCTTCCATGACACGAGTAGGCTGAAAGAATACATGCCCCAAACCAGCCCTTTAGAGAATACTTGAAGTAATACAAAGAATGAAAAAAGGAACAACTATACCCAAGAGGCAACAGAAAGAAACTAAAGAATAACTGTGAAAACACAAAATTAGATCACGAATGCAAACAGAAATTAAAATGATGGCAACCAATATACATCTTTTAATAGTAACTTTAAGTAACAATGGACTGAACTCCCCAGACAAAAGACACAGCCCAGAAGAATGGATTAAGAAACAAAATTCATCCTTTTGTTGTCTCACTTCAAAGACAGGTCAACAGAACAAAGAATGAACAGAGAGACATCTGAATTAAATGATACCATACATTAAATGAACCTAACAGACACCTACCAAATATTCCACCCAAGCATCAAAGAACACGCTTTCTATTAAGCACCCCATGGAACTTTCTCCAAAACTGACCACGTACTGGGGCACAAAACAAACCTCAACAAATGCAAATAAAAATTGAAATAATTCCATGCATTCTATCAGACCACAACACAATAAAGCTCAAAATCAACACAAAAGAAACCCTAGTAACCACACAAACTCATGGAGATTAAATAATATACACCTGAATGATGAATGGGTCAAAGAAGAAATTAAGAAAGAAATAAAAGTATTCCTGGAACTAAATGAAAAGGATAATACAACACAACAAAACATCTGGAACACTTTAAAAGAAATCCTGTGAGGGAAGTTTATAGGTCTAAGTGCCTACATTAAAAAAAAAAAATCAGGAAAAGCACAAATAAATGACTTAACATTGCAACTTAAGACTCTGGAAAGGCAAGAGCAAATTAAACTTAAGCCCAGCAGAAATAAAATCAGAGGAGAAATTAATGAAATAGAAACATAACAAAAAAATCAGAGGCGAAATTAGTGAAACAGAAAAAAAGAAAACAATATAACCAATCAATGAATCCAAGAGCTGGTTCACTGAAAACCTAAACAAGATAGACAGACCCTTAGCCCAGAAGACCAAAAGAGCGAGCACCTCCAAATCAGCAAAATTAGAGATGACAGGGGAAACATCACAACAGACACCAGAAAGATCCAGAACATTGTAAGGGAATACTTTAAAAACGTATACACTACTAAATTTGAAAAGCAAAAAGAAATGGATGGATATCTAAAACCATGGGAACCACCAAAGCTATGCCAAGAAGAGATCAACAGTTAAAAAAGACCCATATAAGGAAAATTGAACACATAAGGAAATTGAAACAGTAATATAAAACCTCCCAACTAAAAAAAAAAGCCCTGGGTCAGATGGATTCACAGAATTGTACCAGATATTTAAGATCTACAACCAATATTATTTAAATTACTCAGGAAGATAGAAAGAGGGAGAACTCCCAAATTCCTTCTATGAAGCCAGCATCACTCTAGTATCAAAACCAGGTAATGACACAACCAAAAAAGAAAACCATAGGCCCATATCTTCAATGAACATAGATGCAGAAATTCTCAATAAAATACTTGCAAACCAAATGCAGATGTACAAGAACAACAACAACAACAACAACAACAAATCATTCACCATGATCAAGTAGGCTTTATTCCAGAGATGCAGGGATGGTTCAATATACGCAAGTCAATAAATGTCATAAATCCTATAAAAGAACTCAAAGACAAAAATCACATGGTCATCTCAATGGATGTAGAAAAGGCCTTTGACAAAATTCAGCATGCATTCATGATAAAAGTCCTAAAGGGAATTGGACTGGAGGGAACATACCTCAACATAATTAAAGCTATATTCAACAAACCCACAGCCAACATCATTCTAAATGGAAAAAAACTGGAAGCATTCCCATTAAAATCAGGAACCAGACAAGGATGCCCACTATCTCCACTCCTTTTCAATGCAGTACTTGAAACTCTTGCTAGAGCAATAAGACAAGAGAAGGAAATTAAAGGAGTACTAATTGGGAAAGAAGAGATCAAATTATCCCTTTTTGCAGATAATACAATACTATACCTAAGAGGTCCCAAAAATTCTACCAGAAAACTCCTAGAACTAATCAACATTTTCAGTAAAGTGGCAGGTTACAAAATTAATCTACAAAAATCAGTAGCCTTTCTATAAATATACCAATAGCAAGCAATCAGAGAAAGAGTATATGGAAACCCTCTAATTCACAACAGCCTCAAAAATAAATTAAATAAATAAATAAATAATTAAATAAATAAATAATCTCAGAATAAACCTGACCAAAGATATCAAAGATCTCTACAATGAAAAATTAAATTTCTAAAGAAAGAGATTGAGGAAGACACCAGAAGATGGAAGAATCAGCCATGCTTGTGGATTGGAAAAATTAATATTGTGAAAATAATCATTCTACCAAAAGCAATATATAGAGTCAATGCAATCCCAACCAAAATCCCCAATCATAGAATTAGGAAAAAAATCCTAAAATTCATATGGAAGCACAAAAGACCCCAGACTGCCACAGCAACCCTGAGCACAAACAGCAATACTGGGGGGGATTACTATACCAGATCTCAAACTATACTACAGAGCTACAGTCATAAAAACAGAATGACACTGGCACAAAAATAGACATATTGATCAATGGAACACAACTGAAGATCCAAATATGAGAACATGCAATTTCAGCCACCTGATATTTGACAAATGTGCCAAGAACACACAATGGAGGAAAGACAGCATCTTCAGCAAATGGTGCTGACAAATCTGGATCTCCACCTGTAGAAGAATGAAATTAGACCCTTATTCTTCACCATGTAAAAAAGTCAACTCCAAGTAGATCAAAGACCTCAATGTGAAGCTTGAAACTCTGAAACTGTTAGAAGAAAACATTGGTGTAGGCAAGAACTTTCTAAGTCTGACGATTGCTCAGAATTAAGATCAACAACCAACAAGTAGGTCCTCATTAAACTAAAAAGCTTCTGTACAACAAAAGAAACAACCAAGAAAGTGAAGAGAAAACCCACAGAATGGGAAAGTCTTCACCAGCAACACATCTGACATATGTTTAGCATATGGAATACATAAAGAACTCAAAACAAGGAATCAAGAAAAAAAAATGACCCAATTAAAAGTTGGGCTAAATATCTGAACAGAACGTTCTCAAAAGAAGAAATAAAGATGGCTAAGAAACATCTTAAAAAGCATTCAACATTGTTAGTAATTAGGGAAATTTGAATTGAAAAAAAACCACCTTAAGATTCCATCTTACCCCAGTCAAGCTAGCTGAGATAAGGAGAACAAATGATACCAAATGCTCGTGAGGATGTGGAGAAAGGGGAAAGCTCATTCACTGCTGGTGGGATTGCAAACTTGTACAGCCCCTAAGGAAAGCAGTGTGGAAAACTCTTAGAAATTAAAAATGAACCTACCATACTTCCTTGGCATATACTCCTATTGCAGAGACACTTGTAGAACATGTTTGTTGCTACTCTTTTCACAATAGCTAAGAGATGAAAGCATCCT